AGGCCAGACTAATAAAGAACTACGTGAAACATAATCCTTGTTATGATCTTGGACAAGTCACTTTCCTTCTCAGGGCCTCAGTTTCCCCATTTTTATAATGCTGTAGTTGGAGTGGAATCTCTAAGGTCCCTTCCAGCTCAAAAATTCCACGCTTCTACATACAGAAATAGCTTAAGATGAAGCTGGGAAGATAGGTCACAGTTCTGAATATAAGAGGGAGTCTAGAGTTTATACAATCTCATAAATTAGACCTTTAAAATATACAGTATAAAACTGTCAAGTTAAAATAAAAAAAGCAAAAGCAAATTTATTACTTCACAATGTGTATTTGTTTCAGATTATCACAATATGTTAACTTGGAACTGGTAGTTAGATGGTGATGTGGAGATTAAAATTGTCTAGTCTACAATAAAAGAGACTGAGGCAGAGCTCTGAGCCAATGGCACTTTATTAAAGGGTCCATGGTCCCCTCGAATGAAGTGGACCTTAGCTCTTACTCATGATCTCAGATGCCCCCTCCTTCTCGGGCCCTATTTTTATAAAGTTTGATACCAAGTCTATTACCTAGACATTCTATTGCAACTATACAAAAAAAAAATATATATGTGTGTGTGTGTGTGTGTGTGTGTGTGTATTTTATATATATATATATATATATATATACATGTATATATATATATATATAGTTATGTACAACTACATAGAATCCCATTGGTTTACATATGACACATAAGCAAAAATGATATGTCAGCAGGGTCACAGGTTAGGTGAAGCAAAGACTATCTCCACCGACGAGGTCCTGGTCACAAGATAGATGGGCTCATGTTGGACAAGAATGAGAGGTCTTGAGGTACAAAAATACACTGGGGGACTTTCTAAAGTATCAAGGCATCTCACCCACGCTGGATTTGGACGTGGAATTTGAGCAAAACAGGATGGAGATACCTTTGTCACCATTCTTGTGGCTGTGCAAGTGAGCCTCATAACTTGATAAACAAGTAGTGGACATTACATTAAAGTTTGAGGCCCACTATAAGAACCTGTCTTTCCCTATATGATTTATGTAATATATCAAATTGACTGAAATAGAGTAGGGGTCCAAATGAATTATTTCTCACAATAAATGGTACAGCTTCAACAGAATGGTGAGAATGGAAACCAAATTACAAGAGAAAAAGTAGATGGTGAGAAAATAGAGGCAATAAGACACTGAGGAAGCATCTCTACTACTACACCCAAGAAAGCCAATACCCTCATCACTGCCACATTTCCCTTTTCATCTAGACCAGGCCTGCACAACATTTGGCTGCCCTCAAAAAAATGTAGAGGATGTAACTATGACTCAGGTCATCCTCAGGCCCCAAGGCTGTTCTCAGACAGAGGTAATAGGGCTCACTGGCCCTTTAAGAAGAAGTGATTAAGAGGCCTAATACCCTTGGGCAGGCCTGCACAACACAACACACCACCAACAGGCTGCTTTGGTGGGCCTTATGTTGTGCAGACCTGATCTAGACCTTTGGAAGATATAGGGGAAAATCACATAAAATGAGCAAGAGGGTCTAACTGTGTCCTGCCAATCATGGTCTCTGAAGGCAAGAGGTGTGCCTTATCTTTTAATCCCTACTGCATCTAGCACAGTTCTCTGCATAGCAGTTATCAAACAAATATTTGTTAAATGAATTCCTACAGCCAGTAACTTATTATAGTATGGAGATTTCTTCTCTACTTACCAGGGAAGGTACTATCTTCTGCATTCATTGAAGCACTAATGCTTCTTTTCACATAATGATAAACATTTGCTGCTGTTAATCCTGCAACAAAGAATGAACACTAACTTAATAAGACTCAGTTATGTGACTTTGGTGCCAAATACAATAGGCTTCAGACATTTTCAGATCACAGAAAGAAAAAATTCCTCAAAGCCACTTAAAACACAGTAAAGGAAGATTTTCTAGTGACTTCAGCTCTGATCAGCTGAAATCTACCACTACCTTCCAAATATAACTACAAAATGAAATATAAGAACACAGGAATTAACAGAATACGGGAGTCTAAAAATGGTTCACAGTTAAGCACTTTACCATTTTTAAAGCCCTTCTTTCACAATTCTGTTAAGATAGGCAGAATAAGTACAGTAATTCCCATTTTACTTAAGAAATGAGCTCATACAGTTAAGTTTCTTGCACACCAGTCAATATGGCTTTTAAATGTTAAAGCACAGACTAGAATCCAGGTCTTTCAACTTCAAGTACAATGTTCTTTCCATTTTCCAGTAGAATGTAAGTTTCTTGACATCAGAATGTGAGTGGTGCTGGGGGATGTGGTTTATGTATCCTCAGTGCCCAGCATGGTGCCTAGCATACAGAAGATGCTTAGTAAATGCTTATTAAATGAATGACACCATAATGCTTTGACCCAGTAACTAATATAGTAACAGCTAGTATATATAGTGCTTAAAGATTACAAAGCATTTTACAAATATTATCTCATTTGATTCTCAAAACAACTTTGGAAGATATGCTCTATTATTGTCTCAGTTTTATAGATAAAGGACTTGAAGCAGACAAAGGTTAAGTGATTTGGCCAGGATCACATGGCTAATTAAGCTGGATCTGAACTCAGGTCTTCCTGACTCAAGGTCTAGTGGTCTATCTACTGCACCACCTAGCTACCTGGCAGACTGGAAAAGATGAGGTGAGAACTGACATAATAATTGTTCAGAGACTAACACCCCGTGTTATCCTAGATAAGACACTCTACCTCACCAGGCTTCAGTTTCTTATCTTATGAAAATCTGCAGATGTTTGACATTCTAGGATAAGATTACCTCAAATAATGAATCCCCCGAAATTGTCATATTTATTCAAATTTGCAGTATTCAAGTTTTAACTATGTAAAATATGGCAATTAGTTCTAGTCCAATGTAAATATGCAGTGGAAACTGGAATAATTTGATCTCTTTAGGGGGTTAATTATTAGCACCAATTGGGACATATCTGTAAAAAGGAAAAAAGACTGCCCCAAAGGAGCTCAATTTAGGGGAGACCACACATCAATAACTAGGGATATTCTAGATATATTCAGAGAATATGTTAGAAAGGGAGGCCCTAGAAACCCAAGAAACCCTGAGAAAGTCACTTTAACTCTTGGTCTCAGTTTCCTCATCCATTAAAAAAAAAATTAGTAGGGTGAGGGTCAGGCAGGTTTGACTAGATAGTTCTTAAATCTTATATTGTATCTCATGGACTCTTCTGACAATCTGGTGAAGCCTGTGGACACCTCAGAACGATGCTTTTAAATAAATGAAGAGAGGGGCAGCTAGACAGTGCAGTGGCTAGAGCACCGGTCCTGAGGTTCAACAGGATCTGAGTTCAAATACGGCCTCAGATACACAACACTTCTAGCTGTGTGACTTGGGGCAAGTCACTTAACCCAAATTGCCTCCAAAAAAGAGGAAGAAAGAAAGAAAAAAAAATAGATTAGGAGATAAATAAATGAAGAGGTTAAACTTCAGTCAGAGGTTGGTGAAAATAAAGACATAAACTTTCTCTCCCCTTCATCCAAATTCACAAGTCTCTTGTAATCTATCCACAAGGAAGTCCAAGGTTTAAGAACCCCTGACCTAGATTATCTCTAAAACCTCTATCCTCTTGAAATCCCATAATCCCAACCCAAAGACTGATTGAATGACAACTTACAGGAATGAGTGGCAAATGGCTTACCCTATGCCTGACTCTTTGGATGTTGGGGATGGGACCTAGTCCAGGCTGAAAACATAAAATGTTTCAAAGAAACAATTTACAGCTCCACCAGTTTTGTGTATTAGCGTACCTGTCTTCCCACTGCCCCCCCAGCATTTGTCATGTAGTAAGTGGAACCTCAAATTTGCTTTCATTTGCATTTCTCAAATATTAGGGATTTACAGAATTTTTTCATATGGTTGTTGATTGCTTGAATTTCTTCTTTTTGAAAACTACCTGTTAACATCTTTTGACCGTTTATCTACAGGAAAACAGCTCTTAAATCTTATAAATTTGAGCCAGTTATGTATATATCTTAAATCTTACATATCTGCATCAATTCTTTATTTGGATATAAAACCTTTATCAGAGAAATTAATTGTAAATTGTTTTTCCCAGCTACCTGCTTCCCTTCAAATTTTTACTACATTAGATTTGTGTGAGCAAATTTTTTTTTAATCTATGTCATCAAAATTGCCCGTGGTTATCTTGTGAGAAAGATATTTGCAAGAGGCAGCTAGGTGGCGCAGTGGATAGAACACCGGCCCTGAAGTAAGGAGTACCTGAGTTCAAATCCAGTCTCAGACCAAACACGACCCTTACTAGCTGTGTGACCGTAGGCAAGTCACTTAACCCCAAATGCCTCAAAAAAAAAAAAGAGAAAGATATTTGCAATGGGTTAACAACAGCAAGAGTGTCTGTGAGGGGATTACAACAAGCCTGGAAGTTCAGGGATTCAGCTCTGAACCACCCATTTGGAGCAGGAAGGGACCTAAGGTGAGCCTCTCCCCCACCCCTGCCTCGGCCCCCAATTCGCGAATTTCCCGGCCAAAGAAAAAGGCGCCACTCGGACCCTGCATCAGTGCCATCCCCGCCCAACCCGCTGGTTACCCGGAGAAAACTCGGAGCCGTCCGATGCTGAAGCCGCGGGCCGATCCACCGGGTCTTGGCCGGCTGCCTCCGTCCGCCCCTCCGCCCAGGTCAACAGCAGCAGGTATCGGTCCATGGCCTCCAACACAAATAGACGCGGCCGGAGCTCACGCCGCTCAGCCCATCCGAATGCCCCGCGCTTCCCTGACGCACTTCCGTTTCTTGTCTGGCTCTCCTCTCCACCCCCCCCCACGTTACTGTGCTTCCAGGCCCGGCTTCCTAGCTACCCGGCAGCGGAAGTAGTCCTCCGGGAGGAGGAGCAGGAGGAGGGGAGCGGTGCTGTGTCTCTAAAGAGTTCCGTCATTATTTGAGCGTGCCTTGATCCTCTTTTCCGGCCCAGGAATAGCAAAGGGCAAGTGACTTGGCGCGCGGCGGGGAACTCTTCTTTGGCGTAGCGAGTTTCCTGCCGAGCCTGAGCAGGAGTGGCACCCGGCCCCGGTCCCGGAGCCGACAGTCGTTGGGTAGCCCAGGACGGGCAGGTTTCGGAGGGTGCGCAATGTCGAGTTTCTCGAGAGCGCAACAGGTAATAAAGAGGGCGCGCGGCTGAGGGAGGGGTGGGGGAGGGCCCTAGACGTCCGAGGTCGGGAAGGTCTCTTGTCCCCAGTTGCCTGTGTGCAATTCCCTTCCTGACAGACCCGAGAGAAGCCGCACGGTGCGATGGGAGGAGCGGCGGACCTGGGTTCGAAATATGCCTCTGCCTCTGAGTGTCTTTGTAATGAATTGTAGTGTAGTATCCCTGGACCTCAGTTTCCTCATCTGTAAGATCCCTTCCAGTTCTTAATCTGGGACCACCTGACCTTAGGCAACTCCCTGTTTTTCACCTTGGGACTGAGGTTCTACATCTGTCAAAAGGGAGGATTGGCCAAATTCAGGGGTTCTTAACCATTTTTTTGGACCACCTTTGGGAGGCTGGTGAAGTCTATGGCCCTTTCTCAGAATGGTGTTTTTAAACGTATATAATATAATACACATGATTACAAAGGTAATCTATTATGTTGAAATAAATTTTTAAAATATGTTGTTTTTTTTAAAGTTGGTAATCCCTGGGTTAAGAAACACTGGAATAGGCGGTTTAAGTGCTTTTACAGCTCTAAATATTTCTGGTTCTTCTTTCCTTTTCTTCTCTAGGCTCTTCAGCGCTTTCTTTCAAAACAGAAAATTGGGCTCCTGGTTACAGATCTAATGTGTGGTTAATCTTTTGAAAAGATCTTTCTGGCTGAAATGAGGCTGGAGAAGTGAAATTGCCTTTTTTGTATTATCCCTAGCAGGTCATTAGAATGTTATATTTATCTTGCTTTTTCAGTTAAAGTATTTTTCTCCCAAAACTCCGAAATGATGATAACTCGAATTTCCATCACCATTCCTATATTCTATTATGAGTATTATTGTCAGAGAAGTTATATGACTTGTCTAAAGATATGCAGATAAAGATTGGCAGAGCCAGGACACAAATCTAAGTCTTCTGACTGCAGATCTAGTATTTCTTCCACTAATAGCCTATCTTTATATATTATTTTAAGGTTGACAAGGTGCATTATCTCTTAAAGATTTCTCAACAAACAAAATTAGGTGAAAGCAGAAGAATAGCTGTTTTGACATTCAAAGTCCTTCATTATTTAGCTCCCTCCTACCTTTCCTGTCTTCTTACACCTTCCTCTCCAATATGTGTGCTTTGATTCAATGACACTGGCCTCCTGGCTGTTTCCTGGACAAGACCCTCAATCTCTCTGCTCTAGGCATTTTTTCAGATGGTCCACCATGCCTGAAATGCTTTCCTTCCTCCACTGGGACTACTGACCTCCCTCCCTTTAAGTCTCAACTAAAATCCCATCTTCTACAGGGATCCTTCTCAGCCTCCTTTAATTCTGATGCCTCATCTGTATTAATTATTTCTTATTCCTTATATAGCTTTGTATATTTTTGTTTGCATATTGTCTCCCCCATTAGATTGTAAGCACCATAAGGGCAGGGACTGTCTTTTGCCTCTTTTTTTACTCCCCTGTGCTTAGCACAGTGCCTGGTGCATAGTAGGCATTTAATGTTTATTGAGCCGAATAGGCTGTTGCCCTGAAGTAAGAGATTTAATCACTGAAAACTTTTATTTACAGTAACATTCCTCAGGTTTTGCAAATTATATTAGCTCTTCCTATAACTAATAAATGACAAACACCAATAGATCTCATTTATGTAACTCATTTTATAGTTGAAGACGCTAAATTGTACAGAAGTTGGCTTTGCTAAGCATATGTGTAAGTGGTAAATCACTCATGACCCTAAGTCTAAGGTTCTTTTCGCTATATTTCTAATATACTCTGATAAACTAATGACCAACTAATTGACTTTTTATTTTTCTTTCAATGAAAATTTTGCTTTTCTTTTCTAGCAGTGGGCCACTTTTGGCCGAGTATGGTATCTCTTAGATGGAAAAATGCAACCTCCAGGCAAACTTGCAGCAGTAGCATCAATCAGACTTCAAGGGCTCCACAAACCTGTATACCATCAATTGAGTAAGTATTGTGTTAGACCAGTCAGTAACTTATAGCTAGAGTTCTTGGCAAAATTGTTGATGTAATGATAGTTTCTAAGTTGCTTTGTGCCTTCTCAGGACCTTTTTCTTCTTACCCTGCCCTTTCTCAGTGATCCCTGCTAAGATGAGGATCTAGCTCTCTTTTCTTTTTGCCTCCTTCTATTTCAGTCACTCCATGTTCTTCAGTTTAAGTTTGACGTTCTCCCAAGGGTTCTTTCCTCCTGGCTCTCCCTCCTTTTCTCTGCCTTGCTAGTCTCACTGGCTTACATGTCTTCACCCACTGTATTTTTTCAGAGAACTCCTAGGTCTTTAGCTCTAAGCCTGACTTCCTAAACTAGAACCCCAAATCTCCAGTTATGGCACTGCAAAGTGGGTAGGACACTGGATTTGAAATTTAAAAGCTGAGTTTGAATTGTCTGCTGTTTACTACCTATATAACCTCTGAACAAGTTGCTTAACTGTAGGTGATGGTGTCTGACTAGCTGATGGTTGATGTCTCTCTTAGCTCTAGATGGCAGGCAGTCAGTAAACAATTATTAAGCCAGTCTTTGTGCTAAATGCTGGGCTTATGAAAAGAGTCAAAAGATAGTCCCTGCCCTCAAGGAGCTCACAGTCCAATGGGATGGGATATAACTTCCCACCCCCTTTCTCTTTTATCTTCTTCAGATACTCTCTGTTCTAAGTTAATTGAATCGGACTCTTTCCTGTTGTTTTTCTGGTCTCTTCTATAACTTTGATATCTTGGGTTTAAAATGGTTGTATTCTCTCCTCAATGCCCCATGTATCAGAGTATTTGTGTATATACCCCTACTATCCCCTGTTCCACCATAATGTGGTGCAGAATGAATGATGCTTTTAGAATTAGAGGACTTTTTTGGAATCTCAGACCTGCCCCTTCGTGTCCATGGGACCTTGAACAAGTCACTTAACTATCTCTGGGTTTCTCCCATCTATAAAATGATGGGGTTGGACTAGATAATCTCTAAGTTGCCTTCTAGCTTTAAATGTGTGATCCTCTGGCCCTAGATTCGAAGCTTTTGGAGAGCCAAGTCTTAGTCATCTATATTCTGGTATACTCATTGCCTGGTGCTATAGCAGGTACTTAATAAATGTATGCTAAATGATTTCAACAGGCAGATATTTACAGGGGACAGTATTGCAGGCATAGGGCACACTGTAAGGAAAAGTTTGGTGCCTGGAAATCACTAAACATGTTTGGGAAATAATTGATCTATTTTGGCAAGAGCATAGGTCATGTTAGTGAGAATAATGACAGATGACTTTGGAAATGTTAGATCCAGATTATTTTCAGTCTGAGAAGTTTGCATTTTGTTCAGTAGACAGTGGGGAACTATTAAAGTTCCTCTTTTGAATATAGGAGAACAGATTAGCAAGATTTATCTGGCAATAGTTACAGAATTTACAGGTATTCAAACACATAGTGTTAGTAGCTTTAAAATCCTCACCTCATTGCATTCCCAGAATCATGGAGAGTACCCTTTTACTTAAGAATTTTGTTAAGTGTGCATAGCTTAAGTGTAAGCTTTAATGGAACAGACATTTTGGGCAAAGTTGCCTGAGTCTCAGCACTCCTAGGTGTAAATTCTTTTTACATATTCTAACACTTTCCTTTTAGAGAGACTTTCCTCATAGAAGTACACAGGGATCATCTCTCCCCAAATGTCACTCATGTTGCTTAGTTGTGTATTATGGCAGATATCACTTCATTTCTAAACTGAAATATCTTTTAATAGCTTACCAGGAGGAGAGGTGAGTATAGCCTACTTGAAAGCTATGCCAGTGAAATACTGGCTTTGGTAAGTACTACTGTACTGGAAAGACTTTGAGTATACACTTAGCCACAGACTATGTTTGTCATTAAAGATGTGTCTCTGTAAGTTTGTGGAGGCCTTAATGCAGCATTAGAAAAAGTATCAGAGAACAATCTACCCAAGGCATTTGTTGCTTATCCCAAGAATATGGACATGTGCATTCACAGTTCGTTCTTAGTCTCTGATACCAGAGCAGTGGCTCAAGTCTAGGTGCACACTGCTGCCTGGATTCATCTACAATTCTCACTTTGTTCTGGCCGAGTTTTGCTTATTGAGAATCAGTACTTGGTGCCATCTGGGCCCTCATCTTCCAGCAGGAGTCCAGGTTACTTGTCCCTGCGGTTTCCGGAGTAGGTTCCTCTCTCATTCATATGTTGAAGTGATTCAGTCTCTCAGGACCTCCTTCCCTCCTCCACTCCCCCCTTTTTTTTCTGTTCAAGACAATCTGAAGCTCAGCACATTTTTCTTAATATCTGTGACTCAAACATTTCCTTAATTTATCCGCCTCAGTGTGTTATTAGCCAGGGCACTGGTACATACATGCTAAACTTCTTTTCCCCTACTTAAACCTTCACACATAGCAAAAAGACAACTCCAATACATTAAAGAGCCATGATTTCATCCTTGTGTATTTCTGCCACTGACACAAATCAAAATCCTTCTATATCTTGAGAGAATCTTTCCAATTTAATGTAGCCAAAAAACTCATCACCTGAGAGCTGCACTTTCATACAATTTATCATATCCACTTGCCCAAGTTTTTCAGTAGTGGTTTGATGACCACTTATTAGATGAATAATGGTATCCATTCTTGGGACAGGCAACAAATGCCTTGTCTAGGTTGTCCTCTAATACTTTCTTTTTTTTGCCCCTCCTAGGGATTTTTTTAAAAATTTTAATTAAATAGTGTTTAATTTTTTCCCCAGTTATATATCAGGAAAACTTTTAGCATTCATTTTTACAAGATTTTTGAGTTCCAAATTTTTCTCTCTCCCTTCCTCCCCTCCTCTCTTCTGAAAATGGTAGGCAATTTGATACAGTTTATACATGTGCTATCTGATACTCTTTCTAATGCTGCATTTATTCTGGATATATACTAGGGCATGAAAGTAGCTTAGTTATATTTACATATCACATAATAATGTGATATGCCTTTTGTATAACATTTTACAGTTCAAAAAGTGCTTTCACAATGAGTTGATTCTTATAATAACCTTGTGATATAGATGGGACAGGTATTCTTTTCCTGAGAAAACTGAGACCAATTCAGTGATATTCACAGTCATAATTTATATCAAGTGATAGAGCCAAAACTGGAATCTTTGGTCTTCTGGTTTCAAATAGTGTTTTTTTCTTACCCATACCATACAGTCTTACATGGTACTCATTAAAACAATATTTTATTAGTATTGGCCATTTAATATTCTAGTACTTGAAGAATATTATAGGCAAATAGGTTTTTAAATGCCCCAGCACCTGTCTTCTACAGATGTATCATTGCAAATGTAACTGCATCACTTTGAAGAGAAGACTTCCCTCTTTCTTATATACAGAGCAACACCTTGCTTAGGATGAGTAAGTGAATCCATGAGAACTGTGGATTAGCCATTGCCAGTTCTTCTCAGTATAAGTTGTCTCTAGTTACCTACCTATTATTTGGTGATAAAGAACATGTGGTTTATTGGCTAAAAGAGGGTTTTTGTCACTGTTGGGTTTTGTTTCGCAGTATTTAATACACAACTGATGACCTATAAATTTTGGTAAAAATTTAAGCCATTTATCATCCTATATCCACAAGGTGGCACTAGACTCCAAATTTCATTACAGGCAAGTTTGTAATTTATAGATTGGATTCTGAAAGGTCATTTGTAATTTAGCCTCTTGGAGTTTAGCGTTCATTTTTCCGGCAGTATTAATGCATTAACTGTTGGTTAAATTCCCGTGCCTAGCCACAAAAGCTTATTTAAAATGTAATATCAAAAACTCTGCTACAAAAGCCTGATCCTATGTACATGGGTCCTTCCCCACTCCTTTTGCTATCTGAGCCATGTGCCTGGCACAGATACTGCTGAGTTTGAGAGTATGTAGGCAGTGAGAGGTTAGTCCCTGGCAGTTTGATTGCCAACCCTCACACTATTGAATCTATTCTTTCAAAAGTCATCAATGATCTCTGCTAGAATCTCAGATCCTCAACTTCAGAGTATACTTCATTATTCTTATCTTTACACCAGTCAGCAAGCTGTTATTAAGTGCTTATTGTGTGCCTAGCGCTGTGCTCAGCCAGGGGTAGAAAAACACAAAGAGCAATAATCCCAGCTCTCAAGGACCTTACATTCTAATAGAACTGGCAGTTTGTCTAGGTGAGTGTTGGACTTGGAGTCCACATCCTGCCTCAGACACTTATTACTGATGTGAGCCTCGGCGTATTATTTAATTTCTCAGCCTCAGCTTCCTTTTCTGTAAAATGGTGTGAATAATAGCACCTACCTCACAGGGTTTTTGTGAGAGTCCAGTGAAATATCATGAGTAGCATTTTGTAAACCTCAGAACATTATACGAATTCTAGCTTTTATTTGCTGTTATCTATTCAGTCACAGTATGGCCTATATTAAACACCTTAGTTCAGACATTCATTTCCTTTCTCCCAGACTATTATAATAGCCTCCTAACCCTGCTCCTAGATTCTCTTCCTCACCAGTACATTCTATACACAGCTTACAAAATAACCTTCCTAAGGCATAGAGTTACCTATATCACTCCCCTGTTGAAAAACAGGCTACCTGTTGCCTGTAGGATCAATTAGTGACTCTACAGCTTAACAACTGAGTCCTCCCACAGTTTATTTCAACCTTCCTTTTCAGCTTTATTTCATATACTTCTCTTTATATTCTACATTGTAGCCAAGTGGAACTACTAGCTAATTCTTAGACTCTACTTTCCATTTTTCTGCCTGTATTCACAGGCATTCATTCAGCCTTCCCTCCTTCTCCCCAACCCCTGTGCAGTGTAGGGCTGGCCTCTCTATCCTATCTTCAAGGCTAAGTTCAGGCTTTGCCTCACACCTCATTATCCCTCCTTATGCTACCTCATATTTACTTTCTCAAGTATATGTATCCTGGCACGTATATAAAATGTCCGCTCCTTAAGA